ACATCCCGGGGGGGGGGGGAGCATGCATCACACACACGCGCGCGCACACACACACACACACACACTTGGAGGGCGCCGGTGGTGGCTGATAAGTGAGTGGAAGCCCTGCTCTGAGAGCTGCCGAGATAGCAAACTGGAAGACCAGGCAGAATTCTCAGCAAGAGCCTTCTGCAGGGGAGAAGATCATTCTGTAGTCTTCGATTTCTCTTCTTCTGCATGCGCTTTGATGGCTATTGAGTATTAAAGCCCCTTGTGCAAAAATCAAGGTGGGTGCTGTGGGGTTTGGGGCCAAATGTATCCCAAAGACAATACTCTCTCCTAGTCAATGTGCAAGGTAGGGGTTCAGCAAACGACTTTGGAGTTGGGAACCCCCCCACCCCAGTAAATGGTTTATTTAGACTTGGAAAGGGTGCAAGGAAGGGGCAGAATTCCCACCATGGAGGAATGGATTGTGAAAACATCAGAATTTGCAGAAATGGTGAAAGTGCCCGGTTTGGTCAGAGAACAAACCACAAAACCTTTTTCTGAAAGACCGGAAGCTTTATATGGACTTTTTGCTGAAAGGAGAAAAAAGGGAATCGATGATTTATGGATTTGAAGACTAAGAAAGATGAGGACTAAATGAAGGGGTGAAGGGACTTGTAAAATAATGAAGAGGAAGGAAGGAGAAGAAGAATGTAATTATCTGTCGAAAAGAAGGACTGAAGTCATCTTTTCTTAAATCCGGTTTTCTGTTTCATTTCTTTGGGTTTGTTATTATGATACGGAAACTTTCGATTAATATAATTTAAAAAAAGGCAGAGGCACGCACAGAGAGGTCAAAAAAGTCAAGATGGCAGCAACTGTGGGGCCAAAGCCCTGCCCCTTTTTATGTCCCTCCCACTTTTAAAAGGGACAGAACTGCAATCATGCGGTTACCGCCATATTGGGTTTTTACCCCCTGCCCATGGTCACCCCAATGTCTGGGGCAGAGAAAATAACAGGATATTTTTTGGCCCCACCTTTTCCTTCTCCCGTGTTGAGTAGCCCACTAGGTTGAGATAGAGGACTAACCAAGGGAAGCATATTTTTCACAAAGTGTGGATTTTTGTGCTGTGCTGCAAGATAAATGGCGGTTATCTGCTTGAAGGGATTTAAAAACAAACCCTCAGCCCTGGATTAGATCAGTGTTCTCAACCTTGGCAACTTTAAGATGTGTGGACTTCAACTCCCAGAATTCCCCAGCCAGCATGGCTGGCTGGGGAATTCTGGGAGTTGAAGTCCACACATCTTAAAGTTTGAGAAACAGCGACTAGCAGAACATGCAGGAGTGATATTGTCCCCTTTCCGTGATTGTTTGGGGCTGGACTTTCAGAGACAGAATGGGGTGGGTGGCAGACATCTACAGTTTTAATTTTCTTTTTATTCTCCCCAGAAGAGGCTGGATATTATTGTCAATAAAGATGATTTTACAGGCTGGCTTTAAATGCTCTCCCATTTATTTCTGTGTTTGGAAAAGCCTTTTGGAAAGGTTCCCACTCTGTAGACGGTCGGGGGGCCAGGGGTGTCCACAGGGGGCGTGTCAAAAAAGTCAAGATGGCGGCCACAACAACACCATCTTGCACCACCTTTTTAAAATATGCCTCTAAGAACATTTAGAGCAAATCTAAATACTATTAGTCATACGGTTACTACTAGTAGTAATGCAATTTCTTCCTGAAAGCTTTTCACCCCCAAGCAAGATGCCAGTGAGAGGGACATTTTGCTCACTGGCAACGTTTTGAAAGAACAGGCTTTGCTTCTCTCTCCCCAAAGCAGCTTGTATCAAATAAACTCTTGTATAAAATAGAATAACTTGTATAAAATACAAAACTCTTGGTGCCAGAGGCTGAAAGGTCTGACTTTTGCCACTTCAGCCGTGACTGGGCAGGAAAGATGGGCATCGTGACAGTGAACCCCACTCCCCAGTTATCCCATGCCCTTACGGCCATCCAGTTTGTCCATGGAGCATGGGTTATGGAACCCTTTCCCCCCATCCCCCAAGCCTTGGGCGCCTCCTAAATCCAGCCATGCCACCATCAACGGAGGGCAAGGTTGGATCTTTCCAGAGGCTCAAAAGAAATGCTTCAATTTGCTGGCTGATGCCAGCCGGTTGGCATCACCCTGTTCCCTGTCTCTGACCTTGGGCAGCCAAGCAGGTTGTTTAAGGGGACAAGGTCTAGCGAGGGCAGGCTAGGCTGGTAACGGGGAGCTGGAATTAACTCTGCCCGAACTCTCTGCACGTCACCTCCCTGGTCTTTTGGATCTGGGGCTGATTCTCAGCTGCTCTTGTTGACCACCGAGGGAGGGTTGGAGAATGAGGACAGGTGTTGGGAGCTGGGATAAACCCAGGGGTGGAATTATCATGGTGGGAGAAGAGGAGCATTGAAGTCTTGGCAAAGTTTGGAGATTAACACCTCCTTTGTTTGTTTCCACCACTTTCCCCCTTGTTGTGGTAGGACGGCAGGGAGAGAAACATGTGAATCAGTGGAGAAAAAAGAAGAAGGTTGCTTAACTAGGGGAGAAGGACAAGGGTTTAGGAAGCCCGTGGACTCCCAACTGGGAAAATGAGATGCTGTGATTCTTTACGACTAAAACGAAGAGACTTCTTCCCAGGTGCTTTACCTCTATCCTTTCCCTTCGTGAGTCTAGAGATGTCAGTTTCCTTTGCGTAGAAGGGCAAGGTTCTAGCCCTCACTGCGGATGAGATCCTGCTTCGCCCAGGCTGCTTAACTAGGTGAGTTGGATTTGCGCCACGTGCTTACATTGGTTAGTTTTAACCTTGGTGAGGATCGTTGGGGTGTTTTTGGGCATGTCTTGCCAGTCAGGTCCATTGTAAATCTGGTTTATGGCAATGTGGCGGTGCAAACCCAGAACAGGGGTTAATTCCACAGCTGAGTTTAAGCTGTGGTGTGAATTCAGCTAAGGCACGGCCAAGGGGAGGGCGCAAAGAAGCTGTGATCGCGGGGACAGTGCACGAAATCCACCCCTTGCTTGCTGTTGGCATCAAAACCAAGGGGGAAGAAACTGCAGGGGTTTGCTGCCCAGAATAAGTGGCATGGCCCACCCAGTTTGGAAATAAGAAATTACAGCTCTGAGCAAAACACACATGGTGGGGGGCGGGGGGAGGGACTAGCAACCTAAAATTCATCCCAGGAGCAGAGGGCACCAGATCTGAGTGTCAGAAAAACAGACGACCATTAGAGGGGAATAAACAATCGGTATTTTTTCCAAGGAAGTTCGTTTGGGTTGGACATCAAGAAAACCAATATGTTGGTAGATTGTGGCTTGTGTGCTGGGCCAACATGTGGCCCTTCCCAACGATCAGAAGTCTATCATCAAACAAGAAGGGCGAGGTCTAGATCTTCTCCAAACACGCTCATAAAATCCTCAACCCATATGGCCAGTGGCCGTGGATGATGGAAGTTATGGATCAGCCTGCCAGTCAAAGAGGCTGGGCAGGATTTTTCTCTCACCGGGAGTGAGAAAGAAAGCAAGAACATCTCTGAGCACGTGCTAAATTTGTTCCCACATATTACAGGGGTGTCCATGGGGCATGGTCGAACAAGTCAAGATGGGGCTGCAACGGTGTGACCCAAGTGCCATCTTGACTTGTGTGATCACACCATGAGGTTAGCCACATAGTTGCCCGGCTCAAAAATTCCCCAGGACAATGTCTGGGGGCTAGGATGAGAGCTTCAGTTTGGGGAGCAGGGCGCAGTACGGACTCTGGGCTTGGTATGTGGGAATGTGACATTCCCGAGCTCTGGGAAATATCTGTCTTGACGCTCAGCTGCTGCTGACAGCTCTCCACTTTTGGCTCCCGTCCTGGAATCTCATCCTTTCTATATTGAGACAAAAGGAATTAAGGAATAGCTGGCAGGAAGGTAGCGGCTGGTGAGGGTGGGGGTGGCTGGGGGGGTTAATGATCTGGCAGCCTGGTCTCTTCTGTTCGCCTGAAAGAAAAGTGCCCGGGCAGGAGACGTTGGTGGGTGGAAATAAATTTGGCTTTGTTCCTTGAACATAAGGTCCACTTAGTTAGTATAAAGTGGATATTCAAAACAACTGTTATCCTGAGAGAGGTGAGACATTCCAGTGATTTGGGGAAATGAGTGTGCGGAGTCGGTGTATGTGGGGCGTGCGTGTGATAATGAGACTGTGCAATTTGCAGTAGAATCGGAGGAGTTTGACTGATTCCCCATTCTAGGGGGGATCATGTCCCCTACTCTGAAAAGGGTCTTCCTTCTAGCCTCTGCCAACTGGCCCTCTTGCCCACCAGCTCTGATCCCACAACCAAAAAGCTCAATGGAACCCCATATTCTTCTGGCCTACCTTCA